TCTGACATAGCAATCTAAAAATAGTATGGTTGACGCAAAACATCAAGCCTTGGTACGGCCGAGGATGAGGAGAGCCAGCTCTCCCTCTCTAAATGCTCTCACATGGCCACGTGTATACAGACACTGACAGGAAAGTCCTACTTACTGACTTTTCCTGGCGCGGGTGTTGTTTATGGAATCGAGAGGACGATAAACGAATGCCTGGCGCCTGAACTGGGCTCGTGGATATAGAGGATCCACCTAGGGGAGTTGGAAAACCCTGATTCCGAATCAATGGTATAATTAGGCTCTAGGATCCTGAAAGAACAAATGAGGTCACTCTCACGATTTTCAGTATTCCTTCTCTCAATCTAATGTCGATCCATGATGAAAACTGTATCATAGATAAATCTTTTCAAATAATCTATAGAATTGGCTTTATAATACTTAGTTACTATTTAGAATTGGTTCACAAACCACTGAGTTCCAATTTAGTCATTTCAATGTCCTGGATCCGATCCTCTGTGAGGTCATGAATCCACACTGCTGAAGAGTTCTGAACTAGAACTATACATCCATACAATACTTCCTAGTCTTCACTGACGATCATGTGACGACTTATTATCATTCTGTGATATCTAAGTAATAAATTCAATAATTTTCACAATGAAAAAATATCCCTAAAGTGTGACAGTGATTTTTCTTTCCCAATAGAGATTGCATCAATAAATTTAGATTGACTATTAAGTAAACAGAAAAACAAAAGGTTGGTAATTAAATAGGGTTAATTATTTCACTATTCAATCCTTCTCTTCTCTATTTCTATATCTTAATTTGTTCCCATGTCAACAAATATTGTATCTGTCATTTATCTTGTATACAAGTTATTAAAAGATTCAGTTACCCTCCCTCTACTTTTCTTTTGCACTACACATAAATTCAATATATCTATATATGTCTCCATCATTTTAAATTATCACCTATTTCTAATCTAAGACTTACCGAAAATAAACACGCAACGTATATTCTCTTGCTTATCATTTATTAAATGTCAATCAAGTTTGTTTATTGTTGTAAATAAAAAAAATTAGATCTAATTATTGTATGAGATAGAAGAGATTGAATAATAATACTAATCATCATCATCTCTGCCTGTTACTCCTCGTGCAGGAGCATAGGCCACCCACCGGCACTCACCATCCAACCCTTTGTCCTGAACAATCCTTTCCAGTTGTTATTCATCCTTTTCATATCTACTTCTATTTCTCGACGTAATGTGTTCTTTGGCCTTTCTCTTTTCTGCTTCCTTTCAGGATTCCAAGTTAGGGCTTGCCTCGTGTTGCGTTTGATGATATAGAAAAATGTAGTGTAGATTTTTTGCTTTCATTTTTATCGTTTAATATTTACTTATTCATTCATTTATTGTATGTTCTAATTGCACATTAATACACTTCTGTACTATGTCCTTATATGCAATATTTCTTTTATATATTACTATCATTGAATTGACTACTTCTATGAATCCGGTGTTTATCTTGTTGTGCTAATGCGGTATGGCAACTTGGATCGATGCATATATGTGTCGGGTCCTACGTTGTAGCTGACTGATTGTCATTCACTTTGTAGTATATGATATTGATGAATCGAACAGATAGTTTTCTTCTTTGAGATAATTGGCTTAAAGTGTGGTTTCTTTTTAGCACTAATAGTATTTGTCAATTGGATAAAAAGGTTAATAATGAGTTATTGTACCTAAGACTAATTGTTACCGTGATATTTGAAAATCTTGGATTTGATTTCATATATAGTGATCTTGAGTACTGTTAGAAGTATGAAGCCGGTTATCACTTCCCGGTTGCCCACACCGTGGAAGGGTTCTTCTAGAGGTAGGTACATGAAAAGGAACTTGGATTAGAGGTGATCTTAGTGACCTGTGAGTGTGACCGCAGTACCCAGGAGACAACTGCTTGAAACTGATCACACACGACCTTTTTGTGAGTAATTTTTGTGTTAGCTCCGTACTTGTTGAGACCGTACCACCGGAGGTGGATATCCGTAGGATAATGCGAGGCGTGGATTTTTAGGGTCAACCTTTTCTAACCCCACTCTTCCTTTGTGAGAAGGCAGCATCGTTGTTATTCTGGTTGTCTGAAGGAAACACCTTACTGCTGTCACACCTCTGTTTAGTCTGCAGTACGACTTTGCCTTCGAACCTTAAGTTTGCTGCTATTAGTCTGACTGGCATGATAGGACCTTGAGGAACGATTGTTCCAGTCAGTATAACTATTGTTTCATCACGATAGTCAAGCCCGATCACCACTTCAAGGTAGAAGCAACGGTCTTCGATAAACTTGATATAAATCACGAAGTCGATCCTCGGTGGTGGTCAGTAGATGCCTGTTTGTTAGATTTGCATAAAACAACTATCTAATATTTAGAACAGGGATTTTATGGAGATTGTATTAACTTTAATATTTGAATTGATGATTCAGTCTAAGTTTGACGACCATTGAAAACCTCGAAGCACTGGAAGACCGTTTCATCCTAGTATGGAACTCCTCAACAGTACACATTCACGATATGACACACAGGGCTCGAAACCGGGACCTTCGGTTTCGTGCGTGAACGCTTAATCTCTATACCACTGAGCTTGAATCCAACGGTGTTAATGTCTAACTCCAATTGATCCATGAATTTACCTAACCCTTCATCCATTATCTGAGGTGGATAACTGTCTCCATCCGGCATGGATTAACTCCACTGGTCACGGTTTCTCACTATCAACTTCAAGTAATCCCATCTTGAAGTTAGTCATTATTGAACATATGGTTATTATCAGTATAGGAATTTGTCAAGATTCAACTGATGAATTGATCTAAGCTAGAATGAAATGATCGTCTATTGCTTTCATGTTTTCAATAATACTTTAACTTAGATCAACTTTAATATTTCTTTCATTTTCAATATTTGTCTAGTTTCATTCAATGACAACTAGAAACTAATTTTAATGGATTTTTAGTATGTTTATACACAAAAAAAAAAACGGATCGTTAAACATGAACTTAAATGAAATTTATAAAATTACTTCTGTTTTTCTTTTTTTTTTTACATTTTCTTGTCAAAATCAGGAAAACTGTACACCTTAGTTTCTCTTTTTTTTTCGAAAATAACCCACATACGCACAGACACACACACACACACAGTGATAAATTTGTGTTACTAGTCAAGTTGAATACTTTATATTTTACTACAATTGAATGCTTCATTTATCGATTAAATTGTATTGTTAGTTGAAGTGATTTGTTCTTAGTTTATAAAATGTTCGTTCTTTCCTTTTTTTTAAACAAAAAAAGTACGAGTACTTCCAGGTTTTCCATGGTGGCCTAACTTCAATTGACTCATGATCTGAACTATTGAAATTACTATAATATATCCACAAAACCGCTTTGTTGATACTAATCAACATATGCTTACTAGTGATTGGTTTCAAGAGGTATATCCTGGAGTTCTAGTGAAAAACAATGACCAGTGGAGATCAACCGGATCAGTTGTGAGATAGTAACTCATTGATGACAATGGTGAATGTGTCGCTCAAGTTTGTGGATTGGTTGAAGTCTGACATTAATAGTGTTAGATGCCGGTTCACTGGTCTAGGCGCTCGCGTGAGAGACTGATAAATTCTGGGTTGGAATCTCGTGGGAGGTGGGATCGTGGATGCCCACTGCTGAAGAGTCCCATAATACGACAAAACGGCTGTCCAGTGCTTACGGGTTTTCAGTGGTTGCCTAACATCGATCAGTTCATGATCTCAATCAAAAACTTAATTTATACAACTCTAAACTGATAATCAATATTCACAATAGTCTTTTAACTAAATTTAGAAATATTTAAGAGTTTACAACTCTATAATAGTCAAACTATAATTCGATTTCAGAAAGGGTTTTTTGGATATCATAGTAATTTTAATAGTTGAGATCATGACTTAGACTACCAGGGAAAAACTACAAGCACTGAATGGCCGTTTCTTCCTAATGTGAGTTCGAATCTCTCGAGGCGAGATCGTGAATGCACAGTGCTGAGGAGTCCTACGGTGGTCTAGCTTCAATTGATTCATCATTTCAACTATTGAAATTGCTATAATATTCACGCACAAAAAAACCCTTCTGATATTTACGAGTTGTTTTATTTTCCAAAAAGAATCATAGAAGTGACTCGGTGAAATGTAGATCAACTTTATTGAATATCAGTCATCATTATCGTTCCATTATATGAAAGTCCAGATATATTGTTAATAAGTTCAGTCATTATAATTAATGCACAAATCCCTAAGTAGGAGAAAGTATAGATGTTACACTTAGTATTAACACACCTAAAATGACAAATGTAAGATTGAATGTATCATTAAGAATTGCACAGTAATGAACAGATATTGCATTTTAGCATAGGACGTTTCCACCTCAGAGTACACCAAGAATCGAATATTTGACTTTGTAGGTCATAAGGCTTATGCCTCACCTCTTAAGATACTTAATCAAAATCTAATAACTATTATTACTAAATTCAATCAACTCACCATATAACACAAGGATCATTCCATATCATTTGTATTGTGATTGTCTCTTTTGCAAGATTGTTGAACTTGTTCAAGTGTAAGTTTCCACTGAAGTGTCAAGGACTCATTTCGTAACAATTTTTCACCTCATAAATTAAACATAATTGAAAATATAAACTGTTGGATTAAAACATTAAATTATCTGATGGTTAAGTGATCATTGTACGAGATTAAAAGGTCTTAAGTTTGAACTCCACTGACTAGATTGTAGGTGTGAACTCCTGTAAAATGGTATAAACAAATCGAAACAATTTTTCAAAGAACATTGATTTTTCAGTTGTCCATTCTCAAGTGTAATATCAGTGTATGATGAAAGTGATCGACTATGGTTGTATTTTTTCCAAATGTTCATTTCTACATCTTCCCCCCCACCCACTGATCTCTTTCCTCTTTTCTTTTTGTTTTGCAGGATAATAATTTAGTTCGACATTTAGATGCATGTGAAACAATGGGCAATGCAACAGCGATTTGTTCAGACAAAACTGGTACATTAACTACAAATCGTATGACAGCTGTTCAATGTTTCATTGGTAATAAACATTATAAACGTATACCGACAGCTTCAGAATTACCAGAATCTATCACCAATCTCATAGTAATGAATATATCTATTAATAGTGGGTATACATCGAAACTTTTGGTAAGTGACTATGATGTTGTTGTTGTTAGTAGTAGTATTCTTTTTTTTCTTTATCAATGTTAAATAAAGCGAAGCAAAACAAGAAAAGATTATTGGTAAGTCTGACACATAAATATTTAGTCATGGACTTTGTAATCACTTTCTAGACCCCAGAAATATGTACTTTCAAACCTTGAAAAGAAAAGATGAGATGTATAAAATGAGCTTTATTTTCTGAGCACAAAGTATTTCAGCAAGTTTCCTTTTCTTATTTCTTGATCTATCCTGATGATAATGTAATGAGTGATAGCCAATTGGATGTTAGCAGTTCAGAAATCAACATCTGGATAGTGTTCATTCTTTTCAATGAATATTGCCAGCCACCACAATGTCTTGGATTGTACTTTTTTGTAACTCGTACAATGAAAGGTCGTAAACTTTTGATAAATGCATCTGAATAGTTTATGCGATTAATTGACATAAGAAAACATAACTTGTTGAAATATCTAGATGACAGGAACGGGTAACCCGGATATTCAAGCAGGTCGCCATAAGTTGTTGAACCGATCGGAATTTATATCAAGCCCCTAAGTTGATTATGACTGGGGGAGTGATTGATCGATCCAATTTTCAATGGCTTTTTCTTGTAATTATAACAAGCTGTGAACCATAATATGTAACTCAGTTGATCTAAATCATTTTTGCATTTGATTTAAAGTTAAATGTTTTGAGAGATCTAAACATAACGTCTGATTTTCAAAACTTTAGTTGATCGAGCAGTAGCGACGGGACGGGACGGGGGGTCCAAACCTCTACAAAATTAGTTAACTATGATCAATTTCGAAGTGATTGTATCATTGACTTTTAATAATACTGCTTCCAGTGCTATTTTTTATTAGTTATGTTGTATTAAATATATTTTTTATACAAAGCGACAATCTGGAAACCAATTTCATAATAGTAATTAAGCGTCATTTATTAATTATACTTCTAAAAACGATGAACCATTGATATTCCCACGACAACAAGTAAGAACACAAAGACTTATACAAGTGAAGATTTAATCACCACCTAGTTTTATTTATTTTATTTTAACACATAGATATTGGTACAAGAAGGCACCAAATACATATGCGCCACACAAATCTCATTCGATATGTGTGAGGGCTGTGATACTGCCCGGGTGCCCAAACCGAAGTAGGTGGTTTTCTTAGGGGGCCACTCCCTGAGCCTTTGATCTAAAGGTCTGACCCACAAGGCAGTGGAGCATCGTAAGGAGATGCAGTCCCATGGTAGCCGGTGACCAACGATTGGTTCATACGCCATTGGTTCCTTTGGGATACTGGAGCCCATGTGCACCATTGATTTGTGATCCGGTTAAAGCGCCGGACATTCGTTTTTCGTCCTCTCATTTTTGTAAACACCCTCGCCACGAGAAGGCAGTGAGTAGGACGTCCCTGGCAGTGGCTATATACGCGTGGCCATGTGAGAGCATTTCGAGAGGGAGAGCGGACTCTCCCCACTGTCGGCCGTACCAGGGCATTGACGTATATGTTGATTTGTATACCCATTCTGATTGTTAGTTAGTAACAAGTTACATGTATGAAAAATGTTTAGAATTATAACGAATTACATGCTGGATATCATGTTGAATATAGTTCACGTTAACTTGATACAAAGAATATCAAGTCTCGAATAAACATCACACTGAAGTAAATCAAGCTCTCAAATGCCCCTGGTATGGCCAATGTTAAGGAGAGTACGCTCTCCCACTCGAAATGCTCTCACGTGGCCACACGTATACACCCACTGACAGAGAAGTCCTACTCGTTGCCTTCTCGCAGCTGGGGTGTTCACGAAATTGAGAGGACGAAAAGCGAATATCCGGAGCTTTCACCAAGTTGGTGGATATAGAGGACCCACCTAAGAGTGTTGGGAAACCCTAATTTCAAACCAATGATGCACATGGGCTCCAGGATCCCGAAGGAACATATGGCCTATGAACGTGCGCTTGGTCACTGGCTACCATGAAACTGCATCTTCTGACGTTGCTCCACTTTCTTGTGGAATAGACCTTTTGGTCAAAGGCTCAAGGAATGGACCATTAATAAGATCACCTGTTTCTGTTTGTGCAACTAGGTAGTATTCCAGCCCTCACACAAATCATTCGATTTGAAATAAGTAAATAAATATTAGGAGTAAATCAATGTTATAGTGAATAAATTACCCTGGATAACCATTATATTAAATTAAAAACGGAAGTAATGTTGAATGAATAGTTACAATGAGTTGAAAATGTAATTTTGCCTCTGTTTTTTTTTTATTATCTCGTCATATCAATAATGTACTCATTCACCTATGAAACAAAATAAACCATGAAGTTTAAATCTTTTTTCCATGAGTTTTAGTTAAAGTTTCAAGTTGGAATCAATAAACTTTGTACAATCACAGTGTCAAGTTCATCTATATCACAACTTCTTGTAATGATTATTTATAATTAAAATAATAGATTTGTATAGTTTATTTACATCACTACGTCAACTTTAGAGACTGATCGAATAACAATAGTATTGTTATCTATGGGCAGAGATGGATGATGGCTAGTACGTTTCTTCTTATCCGGGGCTTGCCAGTTATATACATTTGTATGCCAGAATTGATGTTCACTCCAGGACTCGAACCCAGTACCGTTCGCCTTAAACGCCATCGCGTTATCTACTTAACTACTGAGTCCTGATAGCCACCTGCTTGTGCAATGTGGTTCGAGTCCCGGAGTGGCCATCAACTATGGGATGCAGGTACATCCAGCTGACGAGTCCCAAATAGGACGAAACGCATGTCAAACTGGATTCCACTGCTAACCACTAACCATCTTTGCTTAAAACGCTTGTGACTTAAGACTTTATCGAGGCAATCCACACATGATGCACATATGCCAACATGAGACTGATCAATTGCAGTTCTAAATAACAATGGGAAGATACGAGTAAAACAACACCAAATGAACTTAGTAGATATAGTTAATAAAAATTAAAAAATAAAAATCTAAAACTGAAAAATTTCTGGTTACAAAATAGTTTCCCAGAAGTTTGAACAGTCCTTTGTAGTAGTAGTACTACACTTAATCTACTTAACAACAATCCCTAATCAACTCTTGATATCGTGTCACAATCATATAATGTTATTATCAATATAAACTAGATCAACCTTAAGAAGAGACTCTTAGATAATTTTTTCTGATACTGTTATAATTTGTAACCTATATGCCCTGTTAGTTTAATAACGTAATGATACCGCCAATTAAAGAACAGTGAATTATCTATCGCATGAAGGACGCATAAAACCCGTACGAGCAGTCTAGATTACTTATCGGTCCTGCTTCCTGCCTAACCCAGCCACTTAAGTCCAAAACGCAAATCTCAGCCTCTGCAATATGAATCATTTATTTCAAGCATACTGAGTTTATATACCAACCAGGCAGACCACATCGTACCAATAAAATAGGAAACAACATTTGTACAAGATTTAACCAAAATAGGCTGTGAATGTGGGAGGTAGTAAGAATAGTATAATAACAGTTCATAAGTTAAAATAAGGCTCAGAATAAGAGGGACATGAATATGTATAGTTTAGTTGTTTAACAATTATACGGTAAAAATATACGTTTAGTATTGGTCCATAAATGGATCCCAAAAGTTACCATTCATTATGCTTATAGGGATATAACCGATACTCATTGCGAAGGTATCATATTCTTCTTATGTCTGTTTTTCTCTTCTTTTTTTGTTTTTAGCCTCCCGATATTCCAAATGCTTTACCTAAACAAGTTGGAAATAAAACAGAATGTGCTTTATTAGGTTTTGTCAAATCTATTGGACGTAGCTATGAAGATATACGTACACAATGGAGTGAAGAACGTTTATATAAAGTGTACACATTTAATTCAATACGTAAATCTATGAGTACAGTTATTAAAGAATCAGATAATCCAATGTCATTTTTATTGTTTACTAAAGGTGCTTCAGAAATGGTTGTTAAATGGTAAGTAGTAAGTAGGTAATAATAATGTATATTATAACTTGAATATCTATTGCATAAGAGTTTATGTTTTTTTGCCGACTATTGATACTTAGAACCACATTAGTTTGCTTTATGTTGGTTTATAGACTATTTGAGTAGATGCCTCAATAACTCCCCATAGTTACCACTGTTAACATGTTTCTTTTTTCAATGCTAACTATCAGTGGAATCTGGAATGTACGCTTAATTTTTTTTTGGTTTTGGGACGCTACATCAAAATTTACCACTGGTGTAATTTTCACATTAAGATTTGAACCTCAATATCCTTACCAACTGTGAATTTTAGCTGATGAGTCTTAAAGAAATAAACACGCAACCTATTTGTTTTGTTACTAGTCATTATTGATAATCAATATTACTGTTACTCGAATTGATAAAAAAAGTTAAAATGTATCTGTTTTTAATGACTAGATTCTTGAAGATCTGGGGTTCGATCCATGATAGGTCAACCAATGCTTAGTGCTGACGAGTCCCATACTAGAACGAAATATATGTGCAGTGCTAAATGGTTTTCACTGAGTGTCTAGCTAACATCAGTATTCTATGATGTAAACTACAATATTTGAAAGAAAATAACTGACCCACTACATCTGGACAAACGGCTTCAATTCAATAATTTGATGACAGTATGGTATAGGGAGAAGCTTAATACAACAGCGGCCGATTTCCAGCCAGTTCTTAGTCGTTTAGAAAATAGCCCTTGGAATTAGATAGATTATGGAAAAGAAAACTGTAATATTACAAAGCGTAAACAGATTTTATATCAATGACAAATATATGTATATATCTCCAGGTTACTCTGTGTGTAAAGTTAAAAATGAACAACTTATTAACTCGTTCTTATAGATTGTCCATATTCTTGAACTCTTAAAAGGGTCCAAATAAATTTTTAGAAGTCCATATATTATTCCTAGTTGGAGTTAGGAGTTAAGGGTAAGGATTAATGGTTTAGAGTTAAGATATAGTAAAATAGCCCCATAAACGCTGATTCACCTGTTATGTGTTAGGTCCCGGTAAGCATAATGAATGGTAACTTTGGGATCCATTTATGGATCAATACTATGCGTATATTTTTATCGTATAATTGTTATGTAACTAGACTATTCATATTCATGTCCCTCTTACCATGAGCATTATTTTGACCTATGAACTATTTACCATTCTTGAATTATGCCCTGTCTATTAATTACTACCTCCCACACTCACAGCCTCTTTTGGTTTAGATCTTGTACAAATGTTGTTTCCTATTTTATTGGTACGATGTGGTCTGTCTGGTTGGTATATAAACTCAGTATGCTTGAAATAAATGATTCATATCGCAGAGGCTGAGATTTGCGTTCTGGACTTAAGTGGCTGGGTTAGGCAGGAAGCAGGACCGATAAGTACTCTAGACTGTTCATATGGGTTTACGCTTCATTGATCCGACCTATAATTCACTGCTCCGTAATTGGCGGTCGCATGATATAACAATTAGAAGACATAATCAGGGATTTAATATATTTAACAATATCATTTTAAACATTTTGAGCAATTTACAAAAGTTTAATTAGTCTTAGTTATTTTATGTGCATCCCGTGCAAATTTCCTCGATATAGCCATCATTTCACAAGTTCATAAACGATAGATAGAATATAGCTAAGTAGATAACTCGTAAAGTATTAAGTCCAAATCTCGCAGTGAATATCAACTTTAGTATGCAAGTGTATCTATTTAGTGAAACCCAAGTTGGATTAAACATGCTCCCTAGATTCCAGTGCCAACTATAGTGTATTTATTCCTTCAGTCAATCAGTCAGTTACAATGTAGGACCAGGCACATACATGCATCGGTTCAAGTTGCTACACCTCATTAGCACAGCAAGATTTCACCTTCGGACCTTGGGTTTGTTGCTTTTAGACTTACCACTCTTCAACCGACCTGTCTGGCATGGTAGAACCTTGAGGAACGATTGTTACAGCCACTATGGCACGGTTGCTTCATTACGATAGGCAAATCCGACAGCGATGCTGCCTTCCCACAAGGTAGGATGGGGTTAGAAAAGGTCGATCCTAAAAATATACACCTCGCCTTATCCCACGGATATCCGTCTCCGGTGAGAAGGTCCCAACAAGTACGGAGCTGACGCGGAAACTACTCACAAAAAGGTCGTGTGTAATCAGTTTCAAATAGTTTTCCTTCGGGCACTACGGTCACGCTCTCAGGTCACTGAGACCACCTTTAATCCAATTTCCTTTTCAGTTACCTCTAGAAGAACCCTTCCACGGTGTGAGCAACCGGGAAGTGATAGTCGGCCTCATACCTCTAACAACAATCAAGACCACTATATAAAAATCCTTCTACTATTCATCATACTCGATTGACCAAAAGACTAAATGTAAAGTTTTCTATTAGATGGTGGTTGGAGGTAGTCAACATGAAACCCCGGGACCCGGGTTTCGTGCTACTTGGCACTCGTCAGCAAGGTGTACCTGTAATCTTGAGGGAACTGGTGCTCCCTGGCGGATTCGATCTCGTATCACCCAGCTTCACAGTCAGAGACGTTACCACTGAGCTATCCGAGCCGTGACTAAAGTTTTCTATTTCTAATTACTTCATCTTTATCTCATAATTACATATTCCATAATTTCTATTAAGTAAATCTTATTTCACGAGAATAATTCAACTTCTTTGTGAATTTACCAAAATATCAATGAATATAAAGGTCCTTAAAATGGAATGATTTCTTTTTTTTTTCTTTTTTTAATGGATAAAATAAACATTTCATCTGTTTAATCACTCATTGGACACAAATGGGCACAACTGTATAAAATCAATGATTTTACATCAATTATTCCTATTTCCATTACTTTCTTTGTACATTAGCACCTCCGTTTCTACATAACATACACACACCCACACCCACATACATACATACATACATACATACATACATACATACTTACATACCTACATACATGCATAGATACATACAGGACCTGAACACAGAGATAGGGAGAGACAGAAAATGCAATAAACTGATTTGCATTGTATATATATCCTTATTACAATTTCATAAATGTCACCCCTTATATCTAACAATTTAACATTCTTATGTAATTATAAATTACCTATTAAAAAAAAAATGATTAAATCTTTTTCTTTTATGCCTCCAGTCTATTAAAATTGATTATTAAGTAGATAGTGCAATTTAGGTTTTTGTACCTTTACTATTAAAAGGAAATTGACAGGAGACATTTCTGTGTGTCTGTCTTTTCTGTTTTATTCTTGTTCTCTCTTGAAATGATAACTTCTTTGTTTGTTTCTTCTTCTTCTTCTCCATCATCATCATCATCCATTTGCATCATCATATTAAATTTCCTTTTTATACGATAGAAATGGATTGTTCTTTGATGATTTATAAATAAGTTAATGAATTTTTAGATTATCTTCTATATGTTCCTTTGGTTATCTGGTTTAGTTTTACTGTTTACCAGTCTGTTGAAACTGGTAAATAGCCTCCAAATGTTGAGAATGGAGAGAGTTCGCTCTTTCTCTCGAAATGCTCTCACATAGCCACTCGTATATAGCCTATGCCATGGAAATCCTACTCACTGCCTTCTCATTCCACAGGTGTTGTTTGAGAAATTGAGAAGACGAAAAGCGAATGTCCGGCGCTTTAACCGGGTTGGTGGATATGTAGAGTTCACCTAGGGAGGTTGGAAAACCCTCATTCCAAACCAATGATGTACATGGGCTCCAGTGTCCTGAGGGAACCAATGGCGTATGAACCAATTATTGGTCACTGGCGACCATGAGACTGCATCTCCTTACGATGCTCCACTGTCTTGTGGATCAGACCCTCAGGTCGAAGGTTCCGAGTGTGGCCCCCTAAGAAAACCACCTGCTTCGGTTTGGGGACCCGGGCAGTATCACAGCCCTCACACATATCGAATGAGATTTGTGTGGCGCATATGTATTTGGTGCCTCCTTGTACCAATATCTATATGTTCAAATAAAAAAATTTAAAAAAAATTAAAGTCTGTTGAAACCGAGTAACAATAGTTGGTAAACAAAAAACTCATTGGATGTCTATCAAGTGGTTGTAATATTTGACCATGCACTACGAGACCTAAAGATCTTGAGTCCGATTCCTGGTGAGACCAGGGGTACCCACTGTTGAAGAGTCCTATATTAAGATGAAACAGTTGTCTGATCCTTCTTGATTTTCAATGGTACCCTAATGAACATCATACCTGTAGGGAATACAACCGACGGATTAAAGCAATCTCCACAAAGCCCCTTCAACTACTGTATTGAGTTTTTATTTGTTCTTAATATAGGGTTTCTCATTAGTGAACATTTATGCATTCTCCCCTCTCTCTCAACTTTCTTAAAAACACATAGCTGGGATCGTGTCCTGTTTATTAAAATAGAACAAAACGCGCTCTAAATTTTGACGCTAGTCACAGTCCATCTATAGGTATCCACTTACCCGTAGTTCTTATTTGTTTCCATCTTACTGCCCTTAAAATAATTAACTATTCATGTAACTTATTTTTTTTAAAACCCTTCAATCTATAAGTTGTTCTTGGATGATGGATGAACAAAATAAACCAAGACCATTCAGTCTACAAGATCAAGAACGTTTAACTGAAGCAGTGATTGAACCAATGGCAGGTGAAGGTCTTCGAACCATTGGCATAGCTTATAAAAAAATTACAATAGGTAAGTACTCTCATACCTCTTATGTGTGTGTGTGTGTTCCGATCTTTGGACACTTATGTTGTCTTTGTTCGTTAGCTTTTGGGAGAAGAAAATCTGAAAGAATGTCGTAATTAGAAAGTTCTAAGAAGAAAAAAACTGGTCATATTTTAAGAACGTCATCATATCTGTTATAATTTGGATTTTACCAAATTGATTTGCATATTTCCATTGACAACATAATAAATTATGTAATAGAATTATTCCAATCATTTAACAGAGATCTGAAATGAAAATTATTTGCCTCATTGAATCACTACCTAAAATGTATAATTTAACTACTTCCTATGAGTTTCTAGTTTTATCAGCTGATGAGTTTACTACAATCAGTCAGTTGTAAGCAACATAGATTCTGGGATATACTCATCGGTTCAACTTGTCACATTACAAATTATCACACTAAGGCGAGATTATTACGACAAATACTAAAGTAATGAAAGTAGCGATAGTATTAGTAGTAGTAAGAAAGATTGTGGTGTATGCTACTTATGTTGGTAGATATAATTAGTATGTCACATCAATCAGAAGTGGATTGCCGGCGAGCGAAATATTAAGAAGAGATGTAAGAAAACTGAAAGCAATCAAAACATTAACAGGAATAAAGAACCTGCATGATTGTGATCAATTCTAAGACATGTCACTCCATGCCTCCATACATTGACTACGATAATTACGCGGACACCCCCAAATGCTCCCGGTATGGTGAAGGGTGGGGAGAGTCCGCTCTTCTTCTCGAAATGCTCTCACGTGGCCACGCATATACAGCCACTGACAGGGAAGTCCTACTCATTGCCTTCTCGCAGCTGGGGTGTTGTTTACGAAATTGAGAGGACTGAAAGTGAATATCCGGAGCTTTAACGAAGGCGGTGGATATGGAGGATCTACCTACGGGAGTCGGAAAACCCTCATTCCAAATTAATGATGCACATAGGCTCCAGGATCGCGAAGGAACATATAGCATATGAACGTGTGCTTGGTCACCGGCGACCATGAGATTGCATCTTCTGACGTTGCTGCACTACTTTGTGGATTAGACCTTTAGAAGAAAGACTCGAGTAGTGGCACGCTGCTTCGGTTTGGGCACCCAGGTAGTATTCTAGCCCTTACACAAGTCGAATGATTTATGTAGCTCATATATATTTGGTGCCTCCTTGTACCATTGTTTGCTTAAATAAGTAAATAACCAAGTAATCTTCATCTGCCTACATGGCTTTTAATTGTTTTCTTTCCTCGTTGATTGTTATACATTTCTTGTTAGCATTGACTTTTGTTTAATTATATTTTTCATCTATATTGAATGCAGCTACAAATTCAAAAAGTCCGAATGATATGATTGTACAAAGTGAACCGAATTGGGATGATGAAGAACATTTATTAGAAGGTCTTACTTTATTAGGTATTATTGGAATTGAAGATCCAGTTCGACCAGAAGTACCAGCTGCTATACGTCAATGTCAAAAAGCCGGTATCACTGTACGTATGGTAACTGGTGATAATGTAAATACAGCACGATCAATTGCAATGAAATGTGGTATTATACAACCAGGTGAAAATTTTCTTGTTATTGAAGGTAAAGAATTTAATCGACGTATTCGTGACAAAGCAACTGGTAAAGTTAGACAAGATTTATTTGATCAAGTATGGATTAATTTAAGAGTATTGGCTAGATCTTCACCTCAGGTAAGTTTTTTTTGCTTTGGTGTGTGTGTGTTACATAGAAATTTGTTGATTTATGGCTATGAAACACATCCCTTTAATGTAGAAGATATTCCTAGGTTACTAGTATTCGGTCGAAGGGATATCCGAAGTATTACTCGTATATTTTGAAACCATCGAGTTAGAAATCCTGAGGTTAGACGCAGATTACTAGATATGTATGGTTAATTGATCGACGAGTTGGTGAATCCTTATTAACTGAGATGATTAATAGATGTATTACATTTGCTTATCCACCTACTACCTTGACATCCAATCATGACTGTCATAGAGTTGGTTGGAAAAAGAGAGCGTTTCAATCAAACCATGGCATCAGTCTGTGAAGACATTAACCATTGGACTGAATCATGTAGGTAGTTGTAGATTGCTTGTTCATGGTTCTGATGATTAACATAACCAATAGTTAGAGACCTTAAGTGATATTTCTCAAAATCATTCACAATAGTTCACATGCATTCACTCTTTGTCTTCACAACTATCTGAGTTCTTTATTAATGATTTTCGTTTTATTCTACTCATCCATATTTCCTCCTTGAATCGTATCTTCAATGATTAATCATTTCTATTAACACGGATACTCTTATTAACTCTAGTATTCTGGAATTTTCCATGGCAACTGATAACTTGAACTGATGTATCCATATTTCAAGTTCTACTCTTATTAACTCTACTATTCTGAGATTCCCCTTTACAATTTCATATTATTGTATTAATGTGGTATGGCAACTTAAACTTATGTATATACGTTCCAGGTTTTACATCGCGTTCAACTGACTGACTGACGAATGAAGTGAATGTTGTCTTTTGATGTCACCTTCTATAATGGCTGATGATGTTGCTCAGGGTGTTAACAAAATATTCGTAACTATGAATAACCTATTATAGAGAGAATCCAGTAACATTATAATTGACATCTTACTGATAGAAATAAATTATTTTAATTGTTCAATTATAATAATATCTTAAATATTTTTTGATTGAGATCATGAACCGATTAATGTTAGACCACCATTGAGAGCCTGAAAGCACTGGACGGCTGTTTCGTCCTATTGTGGAACTCCTCGGCAGTGCGCATCCACAACCCCACTCGTGGGGTTCGAACCCAGGGCCTTCAGTCTCACGCGTGAACGCTTAATCTACTGGACCACTGAGCCGGCATCCAACGGTGTTAATGTCTAACTTCAACCAATCCACAAAATTCCGTGACCATCTTCTATTGTACTGAGGTAAATACCTGTCTCTAACCGACACGGATTAGCTCCACTGGTCACAGCTTCTTACTAGAACTCCGAGAATTACCTCTCAAAACTAGTCACTAGTGAGCACTTGGTAATTATCAGTTTGGAGTTGTGGAATTTTTTCCGATGTTTGTTTCTTTAATAATACTTTTTTTCACGAATGTAATATGTTGGTAGTAGCGATAAGATTTCAATCCTGATATGTTTGTTATCGGTTGATACAACTAACACAGCTGTTTCTCTGTGTGTGTGTGTGTGTTTGTGTTTGTCTCTATGTCCCAACAAGTATTCATAAATCAGTTAATCATATTTCAGTATGACAGTTTGTTATTTATTGAATTCATTACAAAAATATGGTAATATTTCTGTCCCTTAAAGACAAAACTGTATCACTGATAGGTTCTGTTAAGCTTGATTCTTATAGAAATGTGAAAATATAAGATAAAACATGAAGGACTTACTTATTTACCTTAAGTTGTGTATTCATTCACAAGAAAAGCATAGATAACTATACATCTCCAATGTATGTATGTATGTATGTATGTATGTGTGTGTGTGTTGTATCTGTATTATCTCTAGCTGCCTGTCAAGAGAATACAAGTTGTACATGTTGATTAAACTAAAAATGGGTCTAAATATGGTTCCTAGTAATGAAACAAAGTTTATTCAACGTTACCAAAATAATAAACACATCAGTATCAGAATGGGTTTTGTGGAGAGTTTTAGAAATTTCACAGGTTGAAATCATGAGTGAGTAGGTCCTGGGTTCGAGCCCCGCGTGGTGCGGGATCGTGGATGCGCACTGCTGAGGAGTCCCATACCAGGACGAAACGGCCGTCCAGTGCTTCCAGGTTTTCCATGGTGGTCTAGCTTCAACTGACTCATGATTTCAACCTGTGAAATTTCTAAAACACATTAGTAACTAATATCCTCATCGTCATCAATATTCTTAAAGACAGACATTATATTACCACTTAATGAATTGAACAGTTGGAAAAATGTAACACAAAAGGAATTCTATGCAGTTTATGTGTAAATTAGAAAATTCAGTTGATCTGATTAAACTAACTATTCTAATCTAATTTGTAATGGTGTTTTTTGTTGTTGTTTGGATTATCATCCCTTTATTGATATTTTGACTTAATTTTGATTATTATCAGAAGGGGTTAGACATTAACACCGTTGTATGCCGGCTCAGTGGTCTAATGGTTAAGTGCTTGCGCGTGAAACCTCCTGGTCCTGGGTTCGAATCCCGCGGGGTGCGGGATCGTGGATGCACACTGCTGAGTAGTCCCATACCAGGACGAAACGGCCGTCCAGTGCTTCCAGGTTTTCCATGGTGGTCTAGCTTCAACTGACTCATGATTTCAACCTGTGAAATTTCTAAAACACATTAGTAACTAACATCCTCATCGTCATCAATATTCTTAAAGACAGACATTATATTACCACTTAATGAATTGAACAGTTGGAAAAATGTAACACAAAAGGAATTCTATGCAGTTTATGTGTAAATTAGAAAATTCAGTTGATCTGATTAAACTAACTATTCTAATCTAATTTGTAATGGTGTTTTTTGTTGTTGTTTGGATTATCATCCCTTTATTGATATTTTGACTTAATTTTGATTATTATCAGAAGGGGTTAGACATTAACACCGTTGTATGCCGGCTCAGTGGTCTAATGGTTAAGTGCTTGCGCGTGAAACCTCCTGGTCCTGGGTTCGAATCCCGCGGGGTGCGGGATCGTGGATGCACACTGCTGAGTAGTCCCATACTAGGACGAAATGGCCGTCCAGTGCTTCCAGGTTTTCCATGGTGGTCTAGCTTCAACTGACTCATGATTACAATCTGTGAAAAAATTGATTTTGATTAGTCCTAATTAGCGTGTGTACATCTTGTGCAGATTGTTTTATCATAAGTTCATATAGAACAAATGTTACTATCTGAATTCAGTAGCTAAGTAAACAATTCGTTAAATGTTTGAAACGAAAGGTACTATGTTTGAATCCCAGAGTGAATATGAACTCTAGAATACAGATACATCGAGTTGACATGTCTTAAATAGGATAAGTCGCGTGTCCTGGATTCCAATGCTAACCACAATCTATCTATTCTATACTAAATAATTATTCACTATTTTTATTGTGGAAATTAATGGTAATCCTTTCTCTTTCTCATTCACTCTCACATATACATCTCTGTTTTCCTCTTTCTTCTTCTTCTTCTTCTTCTTCTTCTTCTTCTTCGGTTATCTGCCTATTTTTCCTTGTTTGTTTATCATTGACAGAAGTTGTCACCTTAAATTATTGATTATTAGGTCAATCATAACTACACGAGTATGTGTTTGTAATGCACGAGGACACGATAATAAATATGGTCTCGTAGCGAACATCTAACCATTAGGAACACTGAGTCAAAGTTTAATGATACAACATTTATTTCAATCAATTCTCAACATAACTGAATGATTATCTAATAACTGAAATCCATCTATAATGAATATAACCTACAAATCGAACCAATATTTTTCGATTGAGATCATGAACTGATTGATGTTAGACCACCATTAAAACCTGGAAGCACTGGACGGCCATTTCATCCTATTGTGGGACTTCTCAGCAATGCGCATCCACAATCGGAGTTCTAGTAAGAAGCCGTGACAAACGGAGCTAATCCGTGTCGGGTAGAGACAGGTATCTACCTCAGTACAATAGAAGATGGTCACGGAATTTCGTGGATTGGTTGGTGTTAGACATCAATACCATTGGATGCCGACTCAATGGTCTAGAGGTTAAGCGTTTGCGCGCGAGGCTGATTGGTCCTGGGTTTGAATCTCGTGAGTGGGATCGTGGATGCGCACTGCTGAAGAGTCCCACAATAAGACGAAACGGCCATCCAGTGCTTCCAGGTTTTCTATGATGATCTAACTTCAATCGACTGATAATCTCAACTATTAAAATTACTGTAATTCAATTGTTTAAGCAAAATGTCAAACGTGAAACATATTTCAGTCAATTACTGCTAACATGATAATTTCATCTCCATATTGTCTATTTATGTGTTAAATATGGGAATTACCTATCCACACATATAAACACATCTATGTATTACATACTTACTTATTATCATCATCATCATAAGTTTACTTATCATTACGACCCGTTCTGAAAATTAGATCAAAAATTTTTTTTTTCTCAATAACATCAACTCAACGAACTAATATTTACACTGTAATACAACATTGTATTATTTACATAGTTAGATTATTATACAACAGTTGAATAGACGAATATACAATGTGTACTACTACTACTACTACTTACCGTTTATTAGTATTATTATTATGATAACTGTTACCAATACTACTACTAACCGTTGTGATTAGTGATAATCATGATAAGTAAGTAAATGTAGCTGAATAATAAAAATGGATACAATGATTAACATTAGTCTCATTTTAAGACATAAGAATTTGGATTTTTGAAAAGAAGTACTCAATTCATTATTTCAATCATTCATTTACATTCTACTGAAATCAGTAGTATCGTGTATATGTGTATATAGATGGGTTAATATTTGTACATATATATGTATTAGTGTGATTGTTGTATAAAATAAACATTTAATTGGTAACTAAAATTAACAGGGTGGATAAAAATGTACACAGTAAACACGTCTATCAACCAAAGGACGTGTTTACTGTGCAGCAGTTCGTTCCGTCCTACTTTATGGCAGTGAAACATGGCCGGTAAGAGTAGAGGATATCCGTAGGCTACTAGTATTTGATCATAGGTGTCTTCGAAACATTGCTCGTATATCATGGGACCATCGATTAAGTAACACAGTTGTTAGAAAACGGGTACTAGGTAAGGATGGCAAATCAATTGATGACGTAGTGAAACTTCATCAGTTGAGATGGCTGGGACATGTGTTACGTATGCCCAACCACCGACTGCCTCGACGTGCTATGTTCAGTGGTATAGGAGTAGGTTGGAAGAAAGCTAGGGGCGGCCAAACCAAAACATGGCTCAAGTCCATGAAGTCACTGACAAGTGAACTGAGTCATGTTGGTAGGTGTAGACTACCTGGTTGGGGACCGCGAGATGACAGCAACCGATGGTTCGAGACCCTGAATGACATGGCCCAAAATCGTTCGCAATGGCGCAGGTGCATCCACTCTCTGTGTTCTCCCAAACTCTAATCTTCTGAATTCTTCATGTCCCTTTTTCCCTCTTTCCAAATTTCTTTCACTGGATTATACTCCTTAAATAACATCTCCAAACCCTAATCTTCCAGATTACTGCTTATACTCTTGCTACCTGTACCACTACGGGATTTGAATCGACCACTGCATCTCTGTGCTAATGTGGTGTGGCAACTCGAACTGATGTACGTACGTACGAAGTTCTACGTTGTTACTGACTGACTGACTGTTAAGTGTACACACTTTATTTAGAATATACATTTTTAATATGAATGAATTGTATTCATTCTATTCATCATTAACATTGAATCAATATGGATACATCAGTTCAAGTTACTAGTTGTCAAGGCGAATTCCAGAATAGTAGAATTAATAAGAGTATTCGTATTAATAGAAATGATTAATCATTGAAGATACAATTCAAGGAGGACGTATGGATTAGTAGAATAAAACGAAAATCATTAATAAAGAATTCAGATAATTGTGAAGACAAAGAGTGAATGCATATGAGCTATTGTGAATGATTTTGAAAAATATCACATGAGACTGATCAATTGCAGTCTTAGATAACAATGGGAACATACAGGTAAAACAACACCCAAGTGAATTTAAACTTCACCCCATGGCACAAGCAGTTGGCTATCAGGACTCAGTAGCTAAGTGGATAATGCGATGGCGTTTGAGGCGAACGGTACTGGGTTCGAGTCCCGGAATTAGCATCAACTCTGGGATGCAGGTACGTACAGCTGACGAGTCCTGAATAGGACGGAACGCGTGTCAAACTGGATTCCACTGTTAGCCACTATCCATCTTTGCTTAAAACGCTTGTGACTTAAGACTATATCGAGGCAATCTACACATGATGCACATATGTCAACATGAGACTGATCAATTGCAGTTCTAAATAACAATGGGAAGATACAAGTAAAACAACATCAAGTGAATTTAATATCACTTAGTTTCCAACCGCTTGGTTATGTTAATCATGTGAACCAAAAACAAGTAATCTACATCTACTTACATGATTCATTCTAATGGTTAATGTCTTCATTGAACTGATGTATTTTTTCTAGTTAACCAAAACTGGAATATAATTGACTTCTTTGATTCCCACTTAGTAGTTGCTACTGCTACATAATGGCAACACACCAATTATAATATCTTCCATAATATAATTACAAGAAGAAAGAATAAAATGGTAGATCCTATTTCCAGAAGTATTTGAAATTTCAGTATCATAACGAACTAAAGACTGTTGATCTCGTGCGCGAACGCTTAACTGAGCTTGGATCCAACTATGTTAATGTCTAACTTCAGTCAATCCGCGACCATCTCCCATTGTCTTTGGTGGGTAGCTCCCCCACACCTGATATAGTTTAGTTCGGCTGACCATTTGCATGTCTTTTAGTGATGTGAGGTATGAATAAGACTAAATCTGTGTATATTTAGATAAATGGTCCATTTTGGATCGACATTCATGTCTTCCTTTCTGCTCAGTTCAATGAGGTTTCTAAATATGTTAACAGTTGCAACCAATTACCTTTCTTTATGATTGGAAAAACATTTTTGAATTATTCTGATATTATTACTACTTAAGCTTACTTTTTATGCATCCACTATTGACGTTTGTTCACTCGTTGAGTTAATATTGTTTTATTATGATGATGATGATTATCAGTAACTATGACTTCACCACCTGCCTCCTTTCACCATGATTAGTCACTCAAGATACAAACCAAACTTAAAGATTACTATATATTTTGCGTTATTCCTTTTCATTCTGTGCTTTTCTGTTTCGTTTTGAGCATTCAAATCAATTTTAAAGTTTGTGAGGAGACCTTGGTTCGTAATCATACTACTATTCGTAGTGATAAACCGGTGAACACTTGATTGATAAGATGTTTTCAAATAAGGCTGATACGGAACGATTGAACGTAATTAACATGAGATCATCCTTCACCTATGTTGGCACTCATCAGCAAAGTATATCTGTAATTTCTAAGGAACTGACACCCAGTGTGAAACTTGAACTTGTGTAACTTAACTTCTCAATCTGAAACGTTATGAATGGGGTTATTCGAGCCATAGATCAAACCAATGATGATAAATTTATCTGGATCCTACTAATCATTCGGTTGTTCATACTTTGTTGAACATTAAGTTATCTGTTATGAATACATTTGATTTTATTTCTAATCACTTGTTATTAATAAAAGAGATTTAAATTTCACATAAATATATATATTTGTTTCTTTAATAGGATAAATACACATTAGTCAGTGGGATAATTAACAGTCGTGCAGCACCGTCACGTCAAGTAGTCGCTGTCACTGGTGATGGTACAAATGATGGTCCAGCGTTGAAACGTGCAGATGTTGGTTTTGCAATGGGTATAGCTGGTACAGATGTAGCAAAAGAAGCATCTGATATTATATTGACAGATGATAATTTTTCAAGTATTGTTAAAGCTGTTATGTGGGGTCGTAATGTATATGATTCAATTACAAAGTTTTTACAATTTCAATTAACTGTAAATTGTGTGGCAATTATTGTTGCATTCGCTGGAGCATGCTTTTTAGATGTAAGTTAAAGTTATGTCAGGAAATTTGACACAGGATATCTTGTCTTGCACATAAATTTTTAAACTACAAATCACTAGTTTAGCATTTAATCCTATACGTATTTAACATGAATCAATTCACAATATTTCATAACCTTCCATTGTCTGCGATGGATAACTGTCTCATATCCGACATGGTTGAATTCCACTGGTCATGAATTCTCATCAGAACTCCAAGAATTGGATCTTGAGGCAGAGTTGTGGATGAACACTGCTAAATAGTCTCATCCTGGAAAGAAATAGCTATTCAATACCTCTTGGTTTCTACTAATATTCAATCTAAGATCAGTTTGTGATTTGAATTACGAAAAGTCTACAATCTTCACGAAACCTCCTACAAATTATACTAAGATTATAGTTGGACATTTAATATTAGTACTACTTATTCAGGGAAGTCCTACTCACTACCTTCTCGTGGCGGGGGTGCTGTTTACGAAATTGAGAGAACAAAAAGCGAATATCCAGTGCTTTAACCGGGTTTTCGGACATGGAGAGTCCTCCTACAGGAGTTGGAAAACCCTAATTCCAAACCAATAATGCACATGAGATTTGTGTGGTGCATATGTATTTGGTGCCTCCTTGTACCAATATCTATGTGTTAAAATAAAAGTAAATAAATAGCCATTTCAAAATGATCATGTTTCATAGACAAGAAATATAAACAATCTATTTCCTTCCATTTAATATCAGTCTAATTCATCGTTTATATAGCTTAAGTAAATAATGTAAAGTATAAAAATAAATCAATTATTCACTTGGTATTGTTTGGCTTGTATCTTTCCATTGAGTTTTAAGACTGCTGACGAGTCCCAAATAGGACGAAACGCGCGTCCTGGATTCCACTGCTAGCCACTATCCATCATTGCTTGTAAATAAATTATGTTGTACTATTGCATAATCTAATTTTCTTTCTTTTAGATTCTGTCTTGTTACTTTAATGAAACATTTGATTTTCTTCTTCATATGTTGTAAACACACTTCAAAGAATTACTACTAGGTGGTAATGTATTGACTGGATTGTTTTTTTTATTACTATTTTCCGGTTTTACATTTAATTCCTATTTCATTGATTGATTAATGGAATGACTTCAATTAAGCTGAATAGTTCTGTCATATTGTACATATGTATTGGAAATCTTATTGTTAATCTTATATTTATTTATTCATTTTAACACATAGATATTGGTACAAGGAGGCACCAAATACATATGCGCCACACAAATCTCATTCGATATGTGTGAGGGTTGTGATACTGCCCGGGTGACCAAACTGAAGTAGGTGGTTTTCTTAGGGGGCCTTTGACCTGAAGGTCTGATCCACAAGGTAGTGGAGCAACGTAAGGAAATGCAGTCTTATGGTAGCCGGTGACCAATAATTGGTTCATACGCCATTTGTTCCCTCAGGACACTGGAGCCCATGTGCACCATCAGTTCGGGATCCGGTTAAAGCACCGGACGTTCTCTTTTCGTCCTCTCAATTTCGTAAACAATACTGTCGCCACAAGAAGAGTATATTAGTTGTTTTAAATAGAATAATTTAATCTTGTGTAGTTCTAGGATTTATTGAAGTTCTGCTATTGCACATACCATATAACGTATTCATGTAACGTGATGATAACTAATGACAGTTTCAGTCAACTTTTTTGTTTATCCAGTTACAAATTTGTTTCGTTTATAGAAATATTCATCAATAATTCCAATGTTTCGTACAGCGAATTTGTCTTGACGAAATGTTTTATTTACTTACTTACGCCTGTTACTCCCAATGGAGCATAGGCCGCAGACCAGCATTCTCCAACGCACTCTGTCCTGGGCCTTCTTTTCTAGTTCCATCCAATTCTTGTTTATTGTTCTCATGTCTGTCTCCATTTCCCGGCGTAATGTATTCTTCGGTCTTCCTCTTTTCTTTTGGCCTTGTGTAATCCATGTGGGAGCTTGTCTTGTGATGCAGTTGTGTGCTTTCCTCAATGCGTGTCCTATCCACTTCCAACGCTTCATCCTGATTTCTTCCTCCGCTGTGATCTGGTTTGTTCTCTCCCACAGTAGAATAATTAAATTCAATGATGTTTGGTGTGTACAAATGTGGTATATGCTACTTATGTTTGTCGACATAAGTAGTATGTCACACCAGCCGAAAGTAAAAAAAACCTAGAAGCAGAAGGTTAAGAAGATCGAATTAAAGAGAATAGAAGGGAAAATAGATTATAATTGTTAACTGTAAGAACCATACAGAATGTAAAATACAAATGATGGGAATTTACAAATGAAGTATTCGTGCAATTAGTTCCTTCTATGAATTTAAATAAAGCCAGAACAAATATTGATGCTTCTTATAAATTCATGGTCTCATCGCTCTTTACAAATATCCCCTTGGAAGAAACGGCAGAGATCATACGTGAATATCCTGAACTTCTGCCTTTACCAATTCATGAATTTAAACAGCTCCTGTTTTTGTGTATAAAAAAACACAATTTAAACTCAAAAATGTGTTGTACCGTCGAATTGTTGGAGTAGCCCTTTAGACCCAATTCTGGCCGACATATTTCTGGGAAACCTGGAACAGAAAAAGCTTAAGCACGTAATCGATGGTACCACACTCTATTGTAGATACATTGATGACACATTTCTTGTCTGCACCAATCGCAAGCACTCCATGAACCTACTCAGTCTGTTTGATATTTTTCTACTTGTTGGATACATCGAACTTATTTCAATATTTTTAACAGACTACTGGGCGATCTTAATCCTAAGCCTCTAAAAAACATCCGATATTCTTTGTTTTGTCTCCATCCAAGATTTCAACGTTTACTCAGAAGGTTTTGCGCTGGCTACTGTCTAATTGCATTGAAATAGGAGATAATATCTAATGACGTTCAGAAATCCCTGGTGAGACTATAATTTATGGACGACATTTGAGCGACTCCAAAGTGACCTTGAAGGTGTCCACCTACTAACTAGGATTAAATGTGAGGAATTAGAATTATGGTTTACAGTTGATGGTTAGGGTTAGGAATTAGATTTGTGGTTTTCATCACAAACTGTCATAAACTATAATGCCGAAACAATATTCGACCAAATGGATGAATGGTTTTCTCCCCAAAACCTGTTATCTTAAATCTGGTTGGTCTCGCCACACTTCTTTCCTCAATTGTTCCATTGTTTTGTTTAATTCTATTTTTTCAATCTATTATACTGATTCATTTATTGTATATTTTTTGTTCTTATTCCCCTACCCTATTTCCCCTCCCTCTTCCAATAAAATACTTGTAATCATTTGTAGGATAGTCCATTGAAAGCTATACAAATGTTATGGGTCAATTTAATTATGGATACATTGGCTAGTTTAGCATTGGCTACAGAACAACCATCAGTGGAATTATTAGATCGTGCACCATATGGACGTACTCAACCATTGATCAGTAGACAAATGGCTAAAAATATCTTAGGTCATTCTTTATATCAATTGGGTGTTATATTTTTCTTATTATTTTATGGTAAGTCAATTTGATTGGTCGAAAATAAATACATATGTCCTTGAATCATGTGATACTATTGGTTGATAAAACTTGAAAGTCTGGTCTATTATTGATATACCGACGTGATCAGCTGATTTTTTTTGTTGTCAACCCACGTTGACACTCCTAACTAGGCTAAGAAATAATATTAAACGAGTTTGGACACATGTTTTTATATATCCCGATGGAAATTCTTAAATTCACTTTAGTATTTGTAAGTTGATATCTTGTTGATATCAAAGGCCTTCAGCATATGTACTTCCTGAGCTAATTACCTTCAATTGTTCATATTTTCTTTTAAATAACTATTCATGGTAGTGCATAGTTACATGTTTAACAATTAGGCGCTTTATAACTGAGACTTATACGTCATCATCATATTGTCATTGCACATAGTCAAATGTGTTAAGTGGTGAACATGGAAGCACTAGATAACCGTTTTTTCCTAGTATAGAACTACTCATTATTGCGCATCTACGACCTCATAGGAGAGAGTCGAACTCAATACCTTCGATCTCGTGCGCGAACGTTTAATGAAACGGCCATTCAACGCTTTCATGTCTTCATCGGTGATCTAACTTAGATGAGTTCATGATTTTAATGAACTTCAAATTCAACAGCCTTCTCAGTTTTAACAAGTTTTTCTAATCTCGAATTATAAAGAATTTATTTGAAGGATAACAGTTGTATCCTTTTTTATTAAAGCTATGACCAAACTAAAACATATCATTAGTTCATGAAATCATTAACTGTTAGTTTGAGACATATTTGGCTGATGTAAATTAACTTGCTTGCGGTCCTCGCAACTATCATAAACAATTTTCAGAGTTGTTAGGTAACACTGCTGAAAATCAATCATAATCACACAAACATCTTCCTTTAAATATTAAACTTTAAAATTATCTTGTACTTCTTATTCTATTAACTCATTATATCTTCTCGAATCTTATTATCTACGTCAAATATCTCCTACTTCTACTGCTAATTACTACCTACCTACCTAACGATAGTAATAATGGTAATAATCTGGCATTTATCTTGATATGGTGATTTATAGTATGATAAACTTGAACCGATACACATATACACCAGATTCTACGTTACTTTTTAAGTGATCAATTCTTTCTCAATAAATAAAGTTATATCTTATTCTAATCATTTCCCCATCCAATTTTTGTTATTCTCTCTCTCTCTCTCTCTCTCTCTCCCTTTTCCTTTAGTTCAATTAATAATGGAAGTCGATAATGTATCGGGGATAACAGTACATGAACCAACACAACATTATACTATAATATTTAATACTTTAGTATTAATGACATTATTTAATGAATTTAATGCAAGAAAAATTCATGGACAACGTAATGTATTTAGTGGTTTACATAGAAATCCATTATTTATTATAATTTGGTTTGTAACATTTTTATTACAAGCATTAATTATACAATTTGGTTCATATGCATTCAGTACAAAAGCATTAGAATTAGATCAATGGGCTTGGTGTTTATTCTTTGGTGTTGGTGAACTTGTCTGGGGTCAGGTATGTGTTTAGTTTAAACAACAATACTAATAAAGGCCATTATTATTATTATCATGAATGGTGGTGATGTAATTACTTTTTTGTCAGTTCGCTGTTACTTGTTGCCTGCCGAAAATCTCTTCCTCAGTCAGTCAGTCAGTAACAATGTAGAACTTCGTGTGTACGTATACCAGTTCGAGTTGCCATACCACATTAGCACAGAGATGCAGTTGTCGATTCAAATCCCATAATGGTAGAGGTAGAAAGAGTATAAGCAGTAACCGGAATGATTAGGATTTGAAGATGTCATTCAAGGAGTATAATCCAGTGAAATAAACTTGGACAGAGAAAAAAAGGGACAAGAATAATTTAGAAATATTAGAATTTGGGAGAACACAAAGAGTGGATACACCTGAGCCATTGCAAATGATTTTGAGCCATGTCATTCAATATCTCTAACTATCGATTGCTATCATCTCGCGGATCCCAACCAGTTATTCTACATCTACTAACATGGCTCAGTTCATGTTTATTCGTTAGTTGACACTCACCAGCATGAAGAAGTGAAGAACTAATCCTTCATCCTGTGTGATCCGAACTAGAATCAGTGTCACTTAGCTTAAGGGCTTGAGGTACTACCAATCAACTATCTGTTCCCTCGATTGACCTGCTGCCGGACTGAAATAGTCACGTAATAATGATCAGTGACATGTTTATTTAGTCCTTAATGGTTGATCCAATATCCTATTGATCAAGTTCTTGTTGGCAACAAGATTGCGTTGTAAACTATATCATTATCAGCCTCAACTATAAACAGGTTAAATTTTAAGAACTAGAATAGTTCAATGCACATTCGAGTGTAACCATTGAAAACTTGGAGGAATAAAGAAGAAATATATTTAACAAATTACTCTAAGTTCATAACGTAATAATGGAAGAGCCTAAAGTTTTAGAAATTGTGAGAATGTGAACATATTTCCCACTGATGAGTATAGACATCAATCTAAGGCTGATAATCCATCTATGAATGATAATGTATAACAATTGAAATGTATTCAATCAAAACACTTGATAACCACATTTAGGATCTGAAACAACCTTGTCAAAACACAAAAAAATATTAAGAAAAAATCAATAACAAATGAAACGGAATAGGTTTTTTCTCCCTTAGTTTTATGACAAATCAAAATGAAATAGATCAACTATCCCTTTGCAAACAATTTTTCCAATCCCTGGAACCCTCAAATATAACCTTTTTGATGTTGTAGCCTGTTTTTATTACAAGTTGTTATTAATCGTAACTCACATACAGAGAGAGACACAGAGGAAGAATCTTCGTCATTACTACAAAACTACACTCAACTGTAATATCTAATAGTTAATGAAAATGAATGATTATGTGTACACAATCATCATCATGTTGTAATAGTAGCCTTATTATTACTTACTAACACAGTATTTTTATGCTTAAAGCTCTACCTATAAGATATATTGGAGAGATCCAGAGAATCCCTCGAAAAAAAGCCCAAGAGAGCCTTGAAAATGCTAGAGAACATTTTATCCAATCAGCACTCAATAGAAGTTTCTCGGACACATCTAGAAAGTGAAGAATTATGTGTCACATTTCTAATTGGATGATTACTTATACTGCTACTATGTTTAGTGTAGGGTTCCAGAACTTTTCAGAAACCTAATCCCATCTGAAATGTTATAAATACCCTAAATTTTCTGTACATAAACGGAACCTTGGAGTAAAGCATTTTTTTTCATATTTAGCACCTTTTCTCGTGTTCAAGTTGTCGTGTAGATCTAGCCTGGAGTTATTACAATAGCTTAGGAAACCGATTAAAGCTTTCTGTCAGAAGGTTTATCAACCTACTAATTCCTAAAATGAAAAGGGGGTGCATGTACTGTTGAATTTTTAAAACATTCACTCTTTCACCGAGGACATAGTGGTCAGAGCATTCAGCTTTTTTGACTATTGCTTACATTTTGTCGTATACACATACATAATTCTTTAATCCAATGGGGTGGGATATTATGGATTAATCATGTGTTGTAATACTATCAGTCAAGCTTTGCTTGACACTCTTATTCGTGTATCATATAAAGAAAACTACTATATCGAAATTGATTTGTATAGTTACAATCTAAATTCAGTATCATGTTAATGAGGTATGGCAACTTGGACCGATACATATATGTGCCTGGTCCTATGTTATAGCTGACTGACTGACTGACTGAAATTCAATGTCAAAAATGATTACATAAAATCGATTATTATCAATAGTGGGAGCCCTAATGAAATCCAATAAATGTCTAGTGTTCTCCATTTACATCTTGATGCACTTCAAGGCCAATTATTGTTTTCTTAAGGTATTGATAATGGCAGTGGTGTAATGATAAGACCATGGTTTTATAGCTGTTTTTCTCTTAGTTGATTATTGCTCAAAATATTGAATAGGTCAATTTTTCCGCCTTATCCCCTATCTGTTATCTACCATTTACATAATATCATAGGTTGTTAATACAGTACCGAATGCAATTATACCAAAATGTAAATGTCGTAAACGTAAACGTCCTACAGTTGTCGGTGTTAACGAAAATGCAGCTGATGAATACATTAAAGATGCGATTGAAGTCGGTGAAGCTGATGAAGAAGAAGATGAAATCTCTCCATTATCACTAGGTGGTGCTAATATGGGAATTGGTGGACGTATTTTATGGATTCGTGGTGTAAATCGTATTCAAACACAGGTAAGTCTATGTGTGAGAGATGATGGTGTGTTGAGGGATTTACGAGTTGTTTTTTTTTAATCTAGATCTCTATATTTGTCGTTATAGTTTTCACAATTTTTTCCCTAAGAAAATTTTCATATTCTTTTCGGTAAGAAAGAATCCCACTTTGATAAAAGTAATAACACTATTGACTATTAGGTCAAAATCTAAATTTTCCCCTCTTTTGTACTTCACATACCTTAGCTAAGAGCAACTGAATGATATCACTAATTCTCTACTTCCAGAACGATGTAATATACAATGTGTGTTAAGCACAGAACTATTTACTTGACAACTAAGTTATGACCCTTATTATTAACTGTTACATTTGGTTTAACCGATTATGTCATCGTAATAGTTTGTGTATTCCAAATTGATAATCATTAATAAATGATAGAGTTAAGAATAGTCTTAAAGAAACCTATGCTATTATTGTTTTTCTTTATATAATGAAGTAGTGTTAGTACCTTTGATGTATCATCAACAAACTTAACAAACGGATGCATATTGTATGTTTCTCATAAACAATTGCATAGATTATTTATTATTATCATCAGCTTTATTCAATATCATATACTTTTAGTACAATATAGAATTCTCAACTTAATGTATTTCGGTTGAGATCATGAATCGATTGATGTTAGACCACCATTTAAAACCTGAAAGCATTAGACGATCATTTCGTCCAAGTATGGGACTCCTCAGCAGTACGCATCCCTGATTATGCCCGCGGGGCTCGAACCCAGGACCTTCGGTTTCACACACGAACACTTAACCTCTAGACCAATGAGCCGATATCCAACGGTGTTAATCTCTAGCCTCATCCAATCCACAAAATTGCGTGAGCATCTTCCATTATATAGAGGTAGATACCTGTCTCCACTAGTCACGGCTTCTCACTAGAACTCCGAGAATTCCCTCACGAAGCTAGTCACTAGTGAGCACATGGTAATTACCAGTATAGGGGTTGTGGAGATTATTAAGTTTTTGATTGAGTCGATGTACCGATTGATGACAGACCGTCATTGAAAGCCTGGAAGCACTGGACGGCCTTTTTTTTAAAGTTTTCTCACTGAATTTATAGTCGAAATTAAAAAATGCTTTCTTAATGATACTATTTATTATGTAATAGTAGTCTATTATCATATAATAGGTTTTAACAAATTTTCTAATATCCGCATATTTTCAGTTTATTGAAATGACTTTATCATGTTTGTCGCTAATGATAACCTTATAATCGTGGATGGAAATGAGAATCCCGATATCTGTGGTATTAGTAATAAATTTAGGCAGATTCATGTAGTTAATAGAATGTACATATTTGTGCTTAGTAAAATGTTGATTATTATGCCTATGCATTACATCGTGGAACTTTTTCATACAGTAACAATATACAGTAGTAATATTAGTATTAATATCAGAAGGGATTTTTGTGGACAATAATATAATTTCAATAGTTGAGATCATGAGTCAATTAAACGTAGAAGCACTGGACGGTTATTTTGTCCTATTGTGGGACTTCTCAACAGTACGCATCCATGATCCCGAACACAGGACCGTCTAATGCTTCCAGGTTTTCCATGGTGATCTAGCTTCAATTGACTCATGATCTCAACTATTGAAATTAGTACTAATTATTCCATATACCCACAAACGTTCATGCAAATTAGCATGTATATTATGTCGCTTTTTTTGTCTTGATGTATTTTTCTTAGAAATACTCATTAAGCTGTATAGTTTGATTATCATCGGTTTAGAATTGAATCCTAATCAACCGGTAACAGATTCGAATATCTCATCTCTTTATATACTTCAATTCGGTCAACTAGTACTTATATTAGTAATTTTTATTGTTGAATTGTGGCTTAAAGATTAGTATTTTGGTTGGATGGATCCTGTTGGATCTGTATAATCTGCTACTACATTGATTTTTCTTGGAAAAAAATTATTGAGAAAGATTGTGAATTTTACATATTAACCTTATAAAGAAAGCAGACAAATAGGTTTTCATGGCGAGATGATAATTTATGAACGAACCAATTAGATCTAGGATAACAGGTCTTAGATTTTGGGGCGAAATTCATTCATCCATTCAGCTAAATAGCGTTTTGGCATTATATCTGATATCAGTTCATGGTGAAAACCCTAAATCTAATTTCCAACCCTAACCATCAACTGTAAATCATAATTCTAACCCCTCACATTGGTTTATAACCCTCATTTGGTCCTATTTAGTAGGTGGACACCTTCAAGGTCACTTTGGAGTCGCTTAAATGTCGTCCATAAATTATAATCTCACTGTTTCCACAGTGAAATTTCTATTAAATTACGTTTGGTTCTATTTAAAATTCATCATCCAAATGTACATGGATCCTAATATTCTTGTTCATACTAGAACCTAAAACCATTGCCTTTTTCTTTTAAACGTTCATACGTCTTTCACTAATCTTTCGAGTTCAAACATCAATTATCTTAGTCAGCAAATATGAAATTACCAGTATAGGGTTGTTGAGATTGTTGAGTTTTAATTGAGATCATAAATCGATTAATGTTAGACTACCATTCAAAACTTGGACGTACTGAATGGTCGTTTCATCCTAGTATGAAATTATTATATACAAAGATTTCAGTTTCCCTGCTGTCAATATGGAAAACTCCATTTAATCAGTCTCATTTATTGGCTAAAATGTCAGTAGTCAAATTTCACGATCATGTTTCAGATCAAGTAACTCTGACAATTACATTGTTATCAGTATAGGGTTGTGGAGATTGTTAATTTTTTTACTGAGATCATGAACCGATTGAGGGAATTCTCGGAGTTCTAGTAAGGAACCATGATCAGCGGAGCTAGTCGGTGTCGGGCAGTGACAGGTATCTACCTCAGACAATAGAGGATGGTCACGGAATTTCGTGGGGTGGTTGAAGTTAGACATTAACACCGTTGGATACCAAATCAGTGGTCTAGATTTTAAACGTTCGCTCGAGAGATCGATTTCCTGGGTTGGATCGTGGTCGCGCACTGTTGAGGAGTCTCACAATAGGATGAAATGACCGTCAAATACTTCCAGGTTTTCAATGGGGGTCTAGCATCAGTTGGTTCATGATCTCAACAACAAAAACTTACATTGTTATTGCTTGATGAAGTTAGTTAATATTATTAATATTACTATTATTATTATTATTATTCGCATATTTACAATTACTTATATACTTATTTACATTCCATTGTATATTTATATGCTTCTATATATTTTACTCTGTTTCCGCTAATCCCCTCCCTCTGTCGCCTCATACAACTAACTAACAATTATCTAATCAATCCATAAACAAATAAACATCCCTCACATTTCTTCATTTACATTTTTTATTTATCATTTTTCTAGATGCAAGCTGTAAGTGGCCTTTCACGAAAGTAACTAACTAAACTCCTTGTGGGGTTGTTTGTTTGTTTGTTTGTTTTATTATTTCTTTTTTATACATAAAGAAAAACGATTGCTTCGGTGTTGTTCCTGTTCCGGTTGTTGTTGTCGATATCGTTGTTGTTGTTGTTGTTGTTGTTATATGTGATATTACGTTTTCCAGCTTTTGTTTAGTTTTCATTTTATTATCGCTGTGGTTGTTATGTTTCACTTATGCATACTACCCTTATTTATACCTACTTATCTTATATTAGACTATTTGTGTGCACATTTGTTCCGTATTTTTGTTGTTGTTTTGTTATTTGTTTTAATTCAATCTCTTTATTATTTATTAGATTGTCAAATCAATAGTCAACTATGATATCTTCAATCAATTTAGTTGCCATGACAACATCTAAAATCATATTCATAATTCTTTACTTCTATTTAAAGTGATCTTTTTTCTCTTTGTTGTTGTTGTTGTTGTTGTTGTTCTCTTTACTTTCTTCTATTATTTACTTTTTTTTAAAAGAACACAAAACAAACTGTTTTTAAGCAACAAATGAAACATTTATATATATACTCATATATATTTAGGGAAACAAGGTGTCTAATTTGACTGAATACCATTGAATTACATAATAACTATCTATGTCATTTGTTCCATTGTATTTTTATAATTAGAATAATGAACATTAAAACTATTTGAGTAGGGTTGTTTGATTTTGGGTTTTTTTTTTAATTTTTACGGAAGAAAATCGATAGGTTAGTTTAGTTGATAAGGCATATTTCCATTGAAGGATCATGTTCATTATGACATCATAAAAAGGAGGTATAAATAATCAATGAAATAAGCCCATATATTTTGATTGATTATGTAATAAAATCGATTAGTTAGTTCATTTCTCTATTTATCCACGTGAATGTATAATTCAATTATATTGATTTTTAATCGGATCATTTTTTTAATTAAACATAAGGATCATGGTATATACATTTATTGATCGAACTTGAAACAGACACCCTAAGCTGTATGAGATTTTCTAAATGAGAATGTGTAAAAATAATGAAGGATCTCCACAAAACAAAAACTCTTTAATATCGAAATGAATGATAAATTAATCAGTGGAGTTCAACCAGGTCTGTTGTGAGATATCGACTCACTGAAGACAATGGTATACGGTAGCGCAACATCGTGGATTGGTTGAAGTTAGACATTAACACCGTTGGATACCGGCTCAGTGATCTAGTTGGTTAAGCGCCTGGCGCGAGACTGATAGGTCCTGGGCCCGAATCTCACGGGGTGCGGGATCGTGGATGCGCACTGCTGACAAGTCCCATACTAGGACAAAACGGCCGTCAAACAGTGTTTTCAGGTTTTCCATGGTAGTCTAGCTTCAACTGACTCATGATTTCAATCTGTGAGATAAATTAATCATTGGATTGAATTTGTGTGTTTTGTTTTTAAAATCTATTCAAAAACACTATTAGGAAACTACCTTCAATCTTGATATCGGTTTTTCATGGAAGATCCAAGTAATTAAGTGATAATATTTCTATGTATGACACTGAGTGATGAGTTTAAAACTCACACACAGAGAGAGAATATCAGCTACATTGAAACACCCGATACACTTAACTACTGACAAGTTCTCAAGTTTATGAAACCTTGATGATGTAGTGATTCCTGACAAGTACTCATTAATCATCAGACAGAAAAAACACGATCTATATATTCACGGAAACGGCATATAAAGTCAACCAACTTATTCCACTGGTTATCTTAGATTGAAATTGATTTTCTTAGGATGAAAGAGGGGGGTAATGTCATGTCTTACGTTTTAACTACCGTGACAGTTTTGTTTGTTTGTTTGTTTCATTCTACATCTATTAGCCATCATTATGGATCTATATAGATGGAACAGTTTTTTTCAACCATATTTAAAATTTATAGAAGAGTATTTTTCTTTCAAATTTATCCAAAGTTGATCGGTTTATTTTTACACTTATCACATACAGAGAAAGAGATTTATCAAGGCAACCAAGAACAGAATTGAATATTAAAACAATTAATGTCATATGTTTAAGAATGTCTTCATGATATTTCTAGATAAATTCATCGATTATTATAGTTTTACGGTCATTATTCATACTATCAAGGGAGAAGTTATCTTTATGTTTAGTTTGGTTACTACTCAGTAAATTTCCAGTTTATATATAAGATGTTATGTATAATAGTACTTTGAAGTTTCAAGTTATTAAACTTAGTGTTATATAGTTAGTGGTCTTGAGTGCGATTAAAGGTATGAGGGTGGTTATTGATTCCCAATTGCCCACACCGTGGAAGGGTTCTTCTAGAGGTAGCTGAAAAGGAACTTGGATTAGAGGTGGTCTTAGTGACTTGAGAGCGTGATCGCAGTGCCCAAGGGACAACTGCTTGAGGTGTTTTTGTGTTAGCTCCGTACTTGTTGAGACCTTACCACCGGAGACGGATATCCGTGGGATAAGGTGAGATGTATATTTTTAGGGTCAACCATTTCTAACCCCACCCCTCCTTGTGGGAAGACAACATCGTTGTCATGCTGGTTCTCTGAAGGAAACACCTTACTGCTGTCACACTTCTGTACAGTCTGCAGTACGACTTCGCCTTCGGACCTTGGGTTTGCTGCTATTAGTCTTATCGCTCTTCAACCAACGTGTCTGACTGGCATGTTAGGACCTTGAGGAACGATTGTCGCAGTCAATATAACTGTATTGGTTCATCACGATAGGCAAGCCTGACCACCACGTCGAGATAGCAACAACGGTCGGTGTTATATAGTACTTATGTCGATATAAGTAGCTTACACCATAATGGAATTTAACTAGAATCATCACTTTCTTTTTTTAAGTGTACTCTTTTAAAATTGTGTTATTCTAAATTATTAAACTGTTTATTCTTAATTATAAGTGAACTAACTATAAATTGTACTGATTTTGATACGTCCATTTAACTGTGGTTGAATAATCATATTCATTCAACTTGGGTTATAATAAAATTGTACTGACAGTGTTTAACTGAATGTTAAGTATAGTCTAAACTGAATACATCCTCCTTCCCTCCATTTTATGTACTTGTATATGGGTGTTATATCCTGATGAGAATAATGAATGGTAACTTTTGGAATCCATTTATGGATCATTACTACACGTATATTTTTATCGTATAATTGTTAAGTAATTAAACTATTCATATTCGTGTCCCTCTTATCATAAGCTTTATTTTGACCTATGAACTGTTATTATACGATTTACCGTTCTTGAGTCATACTCATTCTATCGATTACTACCTCCCACATTCACAGCCATATTTGGCTAAATATTGTACAAATGTTGTTTCCTATTTTATTGTACGATGTGGTATGTTTGATTTGTATATAAACTTCGTATGTTTGAAATAAATGATTCATATTGCAGAGGCTAAGATTAGTGTCCTGAACTTAACAGGCAGGGCTAGTCGGGAAGAAGGACCGATAGGGACTCTAGGCTGCTCGTACGTGTCTTATGCGTTATTGGTCCAATCGATAATTCACTGGTCTCTAATTGGCGGTATCATCACGTTATACATTAACAGGGCACACAGACCACAAGTTATAACAATGGGTGTATATAACCCATTAGGGATCTTAATAACTGTGTGTTTGCTTCATAGAATTGAACTATACTATTCAGGTCCTCCTGAATACCAATATAACTTCACCCTCTTCCAAGGTATATTTATAATTGTGATTTGTTTATGAGTGTGTGAGCGTGCGTTTCCAACAGATCTAAAACAATACAATCTATCATTTACTCCTACAGCTGAAATCTTCAATCAATGTATGACGATTATGTAATCATTGTTTCATTGTCATACATTCCTAATCAATCGAATGTTACAATCACTTCTCAATAGAACAACATTATTGTCAACATTTTTGTTGTATCATTTTTAATATTGTGACATTCAGAGATGATGCCTTTTTTTCTTTTTCTTAAAGTAAATCAAGACTAGGAAATATGACACTATTGAAGTTGTTGTCATTTCACTTATCAGATTGTTATATATTTATCATCTTGTTTCTTATACACATATAGTTTTTCAATGAAATTCAACGTTTTCTTCCTTTCAAACATCATTATTGTTTTTCTCGTGTACTACATATAGAGAGATGTGTATCTGTCTATGTAAAACTATCTTCAACTATATGTGTATACATATTCATTTAAACATATCTCTTTTGTCACTGGTTGAAATCATGAATCGATTGAAGCTAGACCACCATGGAAAACCTGGAGGCACTGTTTGATGGCGGTCTCATCCTAGTATGGGACTCCTCAGCAGTGCGCATCCACGATCCTGCACCCCACGAGATTCGGGCACAGGACCTATCAGTCTCGCGCCAAGCGCTTAATCAACTAGACCACTGAGCCAGTATCCAACGGTGTTAAAGTCTAACTTCAACCAATCCACGATGTTGCGCCACCATACACCATTGTCTTCAGTGAGCTGATACCTGACAACAGACCTGGTTGAACTCCATTGGTCACTGCTTCTCACTAGAACTTCAGGATATATCTCTTGAAGTCAGTCACTACTGAGCTGAGGAGTCCCACAATAGGACGAAACGGTTGTCCATTGCTTTCAGGTCTCCCATGATGGTCTAGCTTCAATTGACTCATGATCTCAACTGTTGAAATTGTTATTATGGTCTAGTAAGTACTACTTATTTTCATGTCTCTTATCAATAGTACGTGTATACATACATCTATGTATACATTGAATATTAAGTGTATTGTAAGTATTTGTAGGTGAAGTTTTTTTTTGAAATTTAATAAAATTTCAATTTGTTTCTCTCAAAAATGAAAAGTACTAGGTGGTCGGAGATATTTCTAGTTGTCAGGCAACTAAATAATTATGATAATACATAATGTTATGCTCTATTATCTTATAGATTAGATCTTTAGATCAAATG